CACTGCCAGAAGTGCGGGAACTGACACCATCCTCCCTTTATCCCGCCAAAGCACCATTACCACCATAACATTTGAAGACGCTCATTACATGTTAGCATTAAATTACATATTTTATGAAAAGTAATATTTCCTAAAACAGAAAGAGTTGCATTATTTGACATTTTTGCAGATCTCTGATGTCTGGCATGAGAGGAAATAAATGGATTCTCAGACTCATTCTATTAGCTCTCAGAGCAGGGTCCTCTCAGGAGCCCGCCGACCCTCCTTCCCGGTTCGCCTTGACTGCGCTGAGAACCAGTCCTCTGTGATAAACACAGAAAAGGAACCATGAAGGTGGTGTTTACTGTATTGTTCCGACCATAGTGCCCGGCACAAAGTAGATGCTCAACAGAATTGATAAAATACACAGTTTAACCTAAAACGACTTTGTCATTCAACTTTTTCAGTGCATTTTTAGGGGAGTTGCAATATGCATGTCTTTGACATAAGCAACTTTAACTCTCCAAGCCTCCTATAAGAGATTTTTAGCATTGAGGCATCCAATACTCAGACACCTGAGCCATGCGCAGCCTGTATTTTGTTGACAGAAACCCAAGAAAAGAATATGTGACTAATTTTGAGAAATCTCCCACCAGTGCCCAAAAAGCAAATGTGTGCTTCTTGCATTATTTGTAAGTGTTTACTGCAAATTGTCATGGGCAATTTAGAGGTCTTGTCAATGGCAAGATTTTCTGTAGAATGTTTGTTTTACATGAGAGCACTGTCACATGTCATGTGTCCTACAGCAATATTCATAGTAGCTCTACCTAACAATGCACTGGATTTGGTGTATGTGATTTATTAAATCCTCTACTGATGAGCAGTTAGATTTTTGTGATTTGTTTGCTTTTAGCTTTTCTGTATGTTACTTCTTTGGCATCTTTTATACTATATCTTCTTACTCCCTTCAGAAGTGTGTTCGTGTTCTCTTCCGAGGTGAAATTCTCAGCATACAAAAAATGTGTGTTTGAGAGAGAAAGGAGGGGAGAGGGAAAAAGACAGTTTGTATGTGTATCATCATTAAGTGACCTCAGAAAACACGATCAGTTTTGATTTGGTGAACTTCTTTACTTTGTTTATGATTAAGGTAAGCATTGCGAATTTTGCACACCGACCCTCTCAGACCCTACTCACCAGCAGTAGACAGTCTTTAGAATTAGGACTGGGGCTTGTGAGCAGATCGTCTTCCAAATGACAAGGGGAAAAATGGCTTTCCGGACAGCAAGCATCCTTACCTTACTCTCCCATGCAGCAAGAGGCAGAATTTTCGAAATCCTTTTCAAAGGATATTCAAATCTTCTGAAGAGAGACTCAGTAGGTGACAGTGTTATTTTCACATCTTCTTCAATACACCAAAGCAATCAAAGAGGAGCCATTAGCACCTGGAGAGAAAACTTCACTGTCACAGAATTCTGCATTAAATCATCACAGCTCTCTGCTGAGTTAACACCTGTAGGTACAGATCACAGCCGAGGGAAATTATCCCTGTCTAGTCACATGCACAGATAATTGACAAGTCATGACAGAAACTGTTTTGTGCTGTATGTTTTGACACATTTAACAGTAGCCATTGATTTAGTGATAAAATTTTTTGGCCTGACTTCCCTCACCATCCCATCCCATAAAATACTATAAGGAGAACATTCGTGTCTGAAATATAAATAAAAATAATTTGGTTGCATTTTAAAGTGGAACATGAAAAATTGTCCCATTGCAAGGATTATTATATCTTAATCATTTCTTTAACTCTGGAATTTGTTTCCGTATGCATCTCTTAATTTATTTTAATGATGCAAAGTAATAAGACAGTATTTATTAGTAGAAATCATTACTGCTAGCAAATTGGACTTTTTAAAACATCTGTACATATTTTAAGAGAAATGGCCCAACAATTCTCAATTATATTATAGTAGATCAGGTCAAATTAGATCAGGTCAAGTTATACCAAATTATATCCAATCAGATGATTGTACTTGACTAAATGATTTATAGGAAAAGCTAATATTCTTTCTATTGAAGATTACCGTAGTCTGATTCTGAGAGGTCTTCAGAACTTGGCAGAATCCTCTCCCCCACCCCCCGTCCGTGTCTGCCATGTGCACACACTCACGAGCATACACGTGCACATGGCTCTTCTTTAGTGTAAAACCCTGCCCTTCTCCGGGTGACTCCGCTGCCTCAGTTCTTCCTTGGACCATGTTTCACTGGGAAGTGCTGTTGTGCGGGCCAGTGGTCATTGCCTGCTCCTGTGTCTCCTAGCAACGTTTCTGAAGGTAGAGCCTGAGACTCCACTCACATGAAACAGACTCCAGGGGCAGGGCCATACTTTTCCTCTGTAAGCTTTCCAGTCTGCAGATAGCCACTTGGGAACCCTGGTTTCAATGCCCTAGCCTCATTCTGGAAGCTGGAGATAAGA